ATTTTACCCACTGAGCCATCATCTCCTAATCCCTAAGAACCTTTCTAAAAAAGATTTATGTATTTATGTATATAAGTGCTCTGTTTGTATATAACATATAATTTGTATATGTCTTATGTATATAAGTGCATGCACTCCTGCATGACAGAAGAGGGCATCAGATCCCATTATAGATGGTTGTGAACCACCGTGTGGTTGCTGGAATTGATCTCAGGTCCTCTGGAAGAGCAGCCAGTGCTCTTAACTAACCACTGAGCCATCTCTCCAGCCCCCAAGAAACTTTTCTTAATCCAAGTTAGAATTGGGAATTCTTTTTGGCAAGGAGAACCGGTAAAATCATTACATTGGTGGACTTTTAAAGTCTACTTTGGGAAGTATTAATATGTGTTAAACTTTGCAGGACATGAGCCTGGGGTCTTGAGTTGTAACATCAGAGGACCCTCATGAGCTGCTGCCTCTGTGTGAACCTCAGCATCTGCCTGCAGTGGGAGACGTCGGCTGCATGACCTTTAAAGGCCTTTTGACCTTAACATCCATCACTCCGATTTCTAACTGCCTACACTGTACGAACCAGTGGCTTCCATGCTTGAGGTAGTTTTGAAAAGAAGCTTAAGCCTGTGCTAAATTCCTGGATGAATATCATGACTCTCAAGCTCTAAAGTTCCATGAAATATGTCATTCTGTTTGCTTCTCTAATCTTCAAATACTGAAACGGATTCTGTCATTGAGGTCCCTGTTAATCACACACAGGAGGCAGAAGCAGGTGGGTCTCTGTGAGTTCAAGGGCAGCCTGATCTATAGGGTGAGTCCTAGGACAGCCAGGGCTACACAGAGAAACTTTATCTCAGGAAAAAACAAGAAAAGGAAGGAAGGAAGAGAGGGAGGGAGGAAGGACGACAACAACAACAACAACAACAACAAAAAAAAAGGAAGGAAGGAAGAGAGGGAGGGAGGAAGGACGACAACAACAACAACAAAAAAAAAAAACAAAAAACAAAAGAAAAAAGATCTCTGTTTTAAAAAAATGTTTTAAATGACCTAAAATAAACAACTTCTACCAAATGACATTTCATGATCACCACCACAAAGAAGACCTCAAAGATTGATTGCTTAAAATCTTTAAAAAATTTTTTTAAGATACAAAATTTGATGTGGGTCTTATTTATAATTAACACAATTGCTTGTCTTTTTTGTTTCTTTTAAGTAATGTTCCTAAAATTGCAAGTCTAAACATGCAAATACTTACTAATATCTAGATGTTTGTTACATGAGTATTCTTAGACAAAAAAAATTTTTTTTTTCAGACACAGTCTCACTATATAGACCCAACTGATCTTGAATTCGCAGAGATCTGTCCATCTCTGCCTCCTGAGGGCTGAGATTAAAGGCATGTACCACCATGCTTGACCCAGACAAAAAGATTTTAAAACAGAGGAAGAAAAATATTCAAAAATGTCATGCCTCTTCCTCCATGTAATTTCATTGTTCTCTGAATTTTGCTAGAACTGAGTTCTGGGCCACAGCTGTACATATAGCTGTGAAAACATACAGAAAAATACTTTTAAATGAGCATGTATTTGAAATGTTGAAGGCAAATAAATGTGATCACAGTAAGAACAGGTATTTATAAAAACACTTTGCCGGGCTGGAGAGATGGCTCAGAGGTTAAGAGCACTGACTGCTCTTCCAGAGGACCCGAGTTCAATTCCCAGCAACCACATGGTGGCTCACAACCATCCGTTATGAGATCTGGTGCCTTCTTCTGGTGTGCATGCATGCATGCATGCAGATAACTATATACATAATAAATAAATAAAATCTTATAAAAAACACCATTGTATACTCTAGCTTTAGAACTGTTCGGGTTAGAAGTAACAGCTAAAGCTAAAGTAAACCCTAGGCTGCTTCACACAACTGGAAAATGTCTTGCAGACCTTTAGGAATTCCCGGGAAGAAAGTGCATTGTTTCCATGGGTGACTCTGAGACAGTGCCAGTGCTGAACTTGGCCACGTTAACTCAGAGCTGATAACAGTCCCAAGAAGAGGGAACAAGCAGCTTTCTTTTATGGTGAAGAAAACGAGACACACCTGTCCCACGTGGCAGGTTGTCTGTCTCCAGAGTTTATATTTACAGAGAGAGCATATGCAAAACAGCGCCCTGCAGTTTCTCTGTAGTTAGGTGCCAAAAGAAATGTTTCTCATACTGGCTGGATTTTCTAAAACAGACAAGATTTGGACCTGAAAATTGCCCTATTTTGCACATGACTGGGAAATCAACCAAACCAGCCCAGTCTGAAATCAGTGACGTCACTGTCTACTGCTGACAGCAGTCTACCCAGTGAACTACCTCAATGCCATACCCAGATCCCTCCCTCCCTCGGTTCTCTGAAGCTGGGCTTCTTCCATGACTGTCATTTACCAAGAACAAATAACACAGGTTTAGACGCCAGGCTGGAACAGTTCCCTGTCCAACTGACATTTGTCCTCCAGGGCAAAGAGACTTAAAAGTTCAGAAACCACTTGCTAACAGTTGTTCTTTGCTACTGTCTCCATCTGCTTTCGCTTAAATAAAAGCCAAGAAAACGTTTGACTTCAATCCTGGTGAGCAGTAAGAAAATCTAATTCTGCAGTGTTATCTCTTGGTTTCACTGACTTGGCATTCATGTGAGCAGCAATCTCAAGAAATTTTATCTGGATCCTGCTAGGCCACAAAGCATGCTTCATGCTAGGTCAGGTTGGCCATGTAGGTGAATAGTCTCAATGCCAAAGGCAAGAAGTACAAGTACAATTTAAGTGGGGGAAAAATAGACGATGTCACCATTATCTATTTACAGCAGAGAAAGAAATGCTATCCTCTGGAATGTACGGGTGATGGGGTGTGACCTAGTTAGTTTTCAATTAACCTAAGATTCAGAGTGAAGCAGAGGGTTTCAAATAGTGACCTGCAAGCAATGGGGGGAAAAGAAACAAAGGACCCCATTCTGTGATGCCTTTACCATGCCCCTACAATGTCCAAAATAGGCCAGTGCATGGAATGACCTGACCAAAGAACTTCAGCCATGGCAAGGAGCCCAAGAGGGCATTTTATGGGTCAGCTGTTGGGCGAGGGGTATTTCATCTGTTACCTTGTGCCATCCCAATAATGATCCTGAGAAACAGATATCATTTCCCAGGGATGTTGTAAAATAACCCAACTATTAAAAAGGCAATGTAAACTAAAAATCAAGTTTGTTTGCTTCTAAACTCTATTTCTCCCACAGTGTGAAACAGTCTCCTTACGTCATTATTTCTGTCTGAGCTTCCTGTCAACCTGGTGCAAACTATCTCAGAAAAGTACTCTTGAGCAGGAGTGGGCAGGAGCACCAGGCATAGGAATCCCACACTATTCCAGAGGACCTAGGGCCAGCATCTGATTGCTTCTTCAATTTGTTCCTCATCTTAGGTTCTGCTCATGAGCTCATCTCTTCTAGCTACTAGCTATATGACTGCCTCCTGCCATTACCCTCACACTGTGCAGGTAGAGGAACCTGACTCTGGTCATTTTCCAATTACCCCATCGACACTCCAGTCCTGGCAACACAACTGTGGCCAAGAGTTTTCTCTTCAGTCTCCAACAGGCTCCCAGAGGGTCAGTTCTGTCTTTTGTCAGCCCCTTTCTGATGTTATTATCTGGGACTAAGTGATTAGAAGAGCAGAGAAATACTTCTTTTATTAAGCAAGTTAATGCAAAGTGAAAGGGTCCTGGGTTGTAGAAGTAATTAGCAATCACCTCCTCCTTCAAAGCCCCAGAGATTTGCTCTGCAATTGCAACAAATGCTTCCTGGTAACCTTCCAGGCCCATGAGCAGGGACACCTGATTACCTTATGTGTGATTTCTCTGAGCTATCTATCCAGTTTGGAGGTCAGCAAATGAACAGCAGCTGAGCTCTGGTGCCCCAGGTCAGTTTTCTTCTCTCTTATTCCCACGATTCTCTGCTATCTATCTTCCAGAAGTTTCTCTTCTGAAAACATAATATGTTTTCTTTAATCTACTTTTGTTTTTGTTTTTGTTTTTGGAAGCCAGACCCTATTTTAAAAGGGCTAGAAGATGATAATAAATAAGTCAAACGTGATGGTACGCACCTGTAATCCCAGCACTTGGGAAGCACAGTGAGCTCCCAGCCAGTCTGAGCTACAGAATTAGACACTGTCTCAAAAACACAAATGAAAACAGAAAGATGGCAAGAAAGGATTTCCAGGACAGTGTAGATCCTTGGATAGATGGAAGTAGCTTCCTTGCCTACACAGTAGGGACTCACCCTTGGAGTAAAGAATAAACAGTAAGAAAATGTTTTCAACCAGAGTGTTAGGTGCCTTAATGTGCCATCAGAAAAGTCCTGATTCCAGGAGAAAACCCTGTTTGTAGGAGAGGACCTGGGGCTCACTTACTCCCTGTCATTTCTCAGCAGTTTGCAAAGTCACAGTGCACCTGTTACTAAGAACCAGGCAGCTCTGTCAGAGCTCCCAAGTCCAGGAGGGTGGGAGATGAGAGCCTGAACTCGAGACCTTTTTTTAAAAAGCAAAACCAAAAAATTTTTAATTGACTTATGACATTTTATGCCACTATCAGAAAGGAGGCTTTTTTGAAACCAACAAGACCAACTGCCACCATATGTTTCCCTAACTGCTAGTAGCAGAGCTAATCAGCTTTACTATCTCCCCAGAATAAAGACTGGGGTTTACATGAAAAGAAATACCCAGCTGGTTTTAAAAGAGACATATTCACTCATGGACAGAACAGTGGAGAGCTGTGACATTTTATAATTGGCAGTATCTGAGCTCTACCCGGACACACACACACACACACACACACACACACACTTCAGAATATACAACTAAAGCAAACATACACACCCAAAGGCAGAGGGGGTGGGGGGACGCACAGGTGTACTAGGGAGACTGAGCAGATGCCTGGAGGCATTGTCCCCGGGGGAGTGGGTTCCTGTTCTTGGATTACTTACCTGCACAAGTGGAAGTCGGGCTTCTTTCGGGACCCGGCTGACAGCTCCCGGGCTGCTGAGCTGTGACGCCGGCGACAATACTAATCTTTAGAACTACAGGCAGGAAGGTGAGGGACAGCAGCATGGTCTCGGTGGTTCTAAGGTCAACAGACAGTGACTTAAGTTCCTAGCACGCAGAGCAGGCGGAGTCCGTGTGTCTGACCCCCAGAAATTCCAGCCAAGTCGGCCTTCGGCCCCAGGGCATCTTTTATTTAGCTGTTTGAATGCTGCCTCCCAGCTCCTTCTCTGAGAGTCTCTGAAGGCAGACTGAAACGCTCCAGGAGAGAGTTCTTTATCTCACTTTTTTTTTTTTTTTTTTAATAGCAATAAGAAATACCTGACACCCTTTTGACAAATTTCACAGAGCCTGAGAGCTCTGGAGGCCTGCGGGTGACTGGTTTCTCGCCATGACAGGAACAGCCAGTCAAAGACTAAGAGAGAACTGAGAAAGAAAAGAACTGATGGAAGTTCCAAGCCCCAGCGGGATGAGGAATAAACCTAAAGAAATGCGCAGATAGGATTCCTTCCTTCTCTCCTTGCAACCCAAAGAGACGCCACCCGATCTCCCTTTTAAATCTCTTCTGGCCCCACCCTCTCCTTTAGTGTCACTTGGGCAAGGAAAGGAGCCTCTTTGCAAACACCAATGCGGGCAATTCCACCAAGCGGCAAAGCAGGGCAGGGTGCCAGAGAGGAGACACTGCTACTCACTAAAAATATTCAAGGCAGGGACCGGGAAAGAGCAATTAGGGATGCCGAGCGCCTAATGGTTCCAGGGACCTGATGAGTGCCACTTATATCTGAGTATCTTGAAGAACGGAGACAAAATTAAGCAACACATTTTAAATCAAAGACAAATAGCCTCACTGACAATTCAGATTTATTATAATTGGTCACCGATGTGAGAAATGCCAAGGACAGCCCACCTTCAGCCCATTATTCGAAGGACGCGTCAACGGCAGCTCACATTCCTGGAGCTAAATCTTATTTCTCCTGTATATTTTATATATAGTGGAATTTTTAAGATTATTCTTTCCATATCAAAGGGAAATCCCTACAGCTGAGTGAGGAGATACAATAGGCACATACACCTTTTCTTCCGGCGCCAGTGTAGTAAGACATCACCAGGGGCCGGGAGTGCCGGGAAAGGAGTGGATTGAGCAGTGCTAGGCAAAGAAAACACAAGGGAATCATGTAAAATCTGGGGACCCTGGAAGCACAGCAGAGCCCAGTGCACCTCTTCCTCGGGTAACTCGGGCCATCTTTCCACATCTCAGAGATAGAAAACAATAGCTCAGCTTGCCACTAGCTATCTCCTGCACTCTTTACTTGGATCAAACCACTGCTCCTTCAGGAATATATACTCAGTACCCCAAAACACCCTGTTCTGGCCAGCCGTTAGCATTAGACTTAATGAACAATGGGGATTTTGGCTAGTTGACTTTATCCTGGAGTTGGACTTTCCTTTAAGTTGTCCTGAGGTAGGTTCCAAAGTCAAGGCAAAACATAGCTAAAGCAATTATCTCAAAAGTAACCGACACATGGATGTATACCCACCACAGAAAACAGGCCCTTTGCCCATGCCTAATTGGGCTCTGACTACTTCTCAAAGACTAAAGGTCAAAGTCATGTTTCCCCATTCCAGCCACCCTATTCCAGGCAGCTCTGACCCTATATAAGGAGAAACAGACCCTGAAGGAGCAAAAGAAGTCATGTGGATGGAATATTTCATTGCTTTCTGGACTCATAGACACTCAAGACTAAGACGAATGTTCCACAAATAGCCCGCACTGAGTATTCATTACTAACCTTGTCAGTGAGCATCCCCTTCAGCAAAACACATTTGCCAGTATTGATGACGATGCTAAGCAAAGAAAGAAAGGACAGCATGCATAGACACTCAAGACTAAGACGAATGTTCCACAAATAGCCCGCACTGAGGATTCATTACTAACCTTGTCAGTGAGCTTCCCCTTCAGCAAAACACATTTGCCAGTATTGATGATGATGCTAAGCAAAGAAAGAAAGGACAGCATAAAGCTGAATTATCGCACTAATATAAGCACAAACAGGACATAACCCACAACTATATTCCATTTGGATTTGGAAATATTCATATCATTTTTGATTAGAAAACATTTGCTTTCAGGCTGGTGAGGTGGCTCAGCAGGTAAAAGTAAATGCTGCCAGGCCTGTTGACTTGAGTTTGGTCACTAGAACCCACATGATAGAAGGAGGGGACCAACTCCTGCAAGTTGCCCTGACTTCCATTCATGCACACGGCACTGTCCCTCACACACATGTTTACACACTCATAATAAGTGATCGTAACTTAAAAAATTCAAATGTTTGCTTCCTTCGTTACATGTCACCTCAGCTAATGTCATTGATGATGAGCACAATGATATCACCTTAGGAAACATGAAATCAACAGGGATAAAATAGATACTTCAACTAATGGCTGACGATAAAAATCAAACCAGAAAATTTCTAGATCACCCAAAATTACCCAAATAGTAAAATCACTGACCTGAGTTACCCAACTACAAAGGGCTTCCAGAGGTATGTAGAAAGTCCATATTCTAACTTCCAGCTCTAGTGATAAGGCACTGTGGAAAGGAACATGAATTATGTTCCTTAATATCAAGGGCTTGCTGAAGTTGATTGTCAACAACAATAAAGGAGAGTATGGAAGCCTGAGCTAGTGAATGTCACTCACCAAGTATTCTGGGGAACAGTGAACAGAAGACAAAAGGACTATCAATAAACAGTGAGCCGGAACTGTGACCCTTTATATAATGGTTGGGAGCCTTGGATAGGACACGGACAAGGAGAATGCAGTGGTGACAAGGGGATAAGGGGCAAGAAAGGACAAAGAAAATAGCTGCTTATTTATTAGATTCTTAGGTGCTGAGGGGCACAGGAGGGAGGAGGGAACCCTCAGGGAGGGCTGTAAGGGAATTCAATGTCAATGGACAGGGCATCGCTCTTGGTGCTTTTCAGTGTGGGTGGGCAATGATGGCTAAGAGGAAGGGTTATCAGAGGGAAGCTATGTCTACATGTGCTAGCAATAATTCTGAGTCTTCTGAGGAGTCATGACCATCACCATGCCACCAATAGCTTGCCTCCTTTGGGCCACATGCTATATTCATGTCACCTCTAATCACCATCACCTTGTGGGGGATGTTGTTATCCTGTGTTGCCAACTTGGGCATGAAAGATTGTTCATATTTATGGGTATGGGAACCCTGAAGTGTTATTCTTTCCTTGCTACATAGTACCGCTGATGTGAATGGCCAGGCAGATATTACCAAAAAGAAGAATAGAACTTAGATTACACTCAGGTTGTGACTGTAGAAACCAGAAGTGACAGGTCATCTGTCTTAGTAAAATGACTATTAGCACCTAACATGCACCTACAGAAATAATGCTGTGGTTATTTGAATGAGGAATGTCCCTCATGGACTCAGATATTTCAATACATGTCCTTCAATTAGTGGCACCATTCAAGGAGGCTTAAGACATGTAGCCTTAGCCGGTCGTTGGTGACACACGCCTTTAATCCCAGCACTTGGGAGGCTGAGGCAGGTGGATCTCTGTGAGTTCGAGGCCAGCCTGGTCTCCAGAGTGAGTGTCAGGATAGGTTCCAAAGCTACACAGAGAAACCCTGTCTCGAAAAAACAAAACAAACAAATAAACAAAAAGACATGTAGCCTTGCTGGAGAAAGTAATTCACTAGAGTGGGTGGCGAGAATTCATAGTCTCTCTCTCTGTGTGTCTCTCTCTCCTTATATTTCACACTTTCTGCTTCATGGATGTGGTTGAGATGTGATCATTCAGCTTCCTGGTCCTGATGCCATGCCTGCTGCTTACTGTCATGCCTCTCCATGATGAACTTTTATCCCTCCGTAAGTCCAAATCAACCCTTCCTTCTGTAACTTACCTTTGTCATGGAGTTTCATCATAGCAACATGCAAGTAACTAATAGAGAAGATGGGTACCAGAGAATGGACTATTTTTGTGAGGACCTGACCTTGTTGGGTTTTAGAGGCTTGTGGAAGACTTTAGAATGTTAGTTTAGACAAATGTTTGAGTTTAGTAAATAAATGACATAAATAAATAGATAAATGGCAGAGCTTAAACAACAATTCTAGTAGGAGCCTAGGAGACTGCATAGCTGAGAGTAATGCAGATTGTAGAAGCCCAGCTCAAGGGATCTCAGAAAGAAGCAAGAATTTTAAGGGCTACTTGGCTGGAAGCCATTTACATAGTATTTTGGCAATGAATCTGGTTGTTTTCTGCCTGTGTCCTGAGAACTTGCCTGAAGCTAAGTTAAAAAGTAATGGACTCATTTCTCTGATGGAAAAACATTTCAAGACTGCATACTTCTGAGTCTGTGGTGTGGTTATTTTTGATAATGCTTGTGCAGATCTAAAATGAAAGGGAACAAGTGGGCAGAAAGAAATGCCAAACCTGTGGTTTAGAAAGAAAAGCAGCACTAGAAAGTTTAACGTTACAGCCAAGGCTCTGGGCTGGAAGGGAGGCCTAACTACTAAGGAGATTGATACCATTAAAGAAGATTTCCCTCTGCCTGGAACTAAAGGAATGAGGCTCTCAAGGCAAGACCCCTACCCACATAAGCTTCTAATGTGTGAAAGGGAGCAGACAGAATTTCCTGCTTCTAGAAAGAAACTGATTGAAAGCACAGCTGCTAAGATGATTCAAAAGGACCAGGACCCATCCTAAGCTGACAGTCAAACTTGGCAGTGTCATCTCTGTGGCGATGGCTGTAGAGGAAAGAATTCAAGAGTGAAGAGGTCATGAATTTTCCCCCTCAAGTTTCAGAGAGCAACTGGGGCTAGGCAGAGTGTGGTGCAAGCGTGCGGGAGTGCGGAGGATTCCTGTGTGATGTCCCTGAGAAGGGAAGAGGCTGGGAGAGGCCATTGCCTGAAGATGTGAAAGAGCCTGTGTTGCAGTGGAGACCCCAAGATGGTGGCTGTCCCAAGAATGTGAAATGTCGGGGAAGGAGAGCTGCAGGCAAGGAGTGGAAGCAGTCCAAGAGAGACACGTGTTGCAGGAAGAAAATCTGGAAGGGCAGAGCCAAATGTGCTGCATAGTTTATGTCAACTTGACACATGCTAGAGTCCTCTGAAAGGAGGGAACCTCAACTGAGAGAATGCCTTCAGGGGGTGGTACTGTTATGTAAACCCATAAAGCATCTTCTTTCTTTCTTTCTTTCTTTCTTTCTTTCTTTCCTTCCTTCCTTCCTTCCTTCCTTCCTTTCTTTCTCTCCTCAAGACAGGCTTTCTTTGTGTAGTGTTCTTAGTTGTCCTGGAACTCACTTTGTAGACCAGCCTGACCTTGAACTCACAGAGCTCCTCCTGCTTCTGACTCCCAAGCACTAGGATTAAAGGTGTACACCACCACACCCAGTGTCCATTTTCTGAATTAGTGATTGATGCAGGAGGGGCCAGTCCATTGTGAGTGGTGCCATCTCTGGGCTGGTAATACTGGATGCTGAAATAAAGCAGCAGGCTGAGCAAACCACGTAGAGCATTCCTCCATGGCCCATATATCAGCTCCTGGGGTTTCAGGTTTTCACTTTGAGTTCAGGTCTTAGCTTCCCTCAATAGACTGTGGTTTAGGATATATAAGCCAAATAGACTATTTTCTCCGCATTGCTTTTGGTCATGGCATTTCATCACAGCAATAGTAACCCTAACTAAGACGCCATCTCAAGTCCTTTGTAATTAAAGTCCCAGACAACAGATATGATGCTACAGGACTTGGTGTTTGTCCTTATGGGTTTCAGTTGTGTTTTGGTTTGGTACTCCCTCACAATGTCCAATCCTTATGTTTGGAATGATAAAGTATATTCTGTGGAAGTTTATGTTGGAAGTATATAATCTACTTTTGTAATTTACAGGCAGCTACAATTAAGAGGTCATCTTGAGTCCCTGAAGAGATTTTAGACTTTACACTTTTTTAGTGTTCAAAATGTTAAAGAGGGGCTGGAGTAGTGTCTCAGTGGTTAAGCGAACTGGCTGCTCTTCCAGAGGCCCTAGGTTCAATCCCAGCCCCCACATGGCAGCTCACAGGTGTCCTTAATTCTAGTGCCAGGGTATCCTCTTCTGGTCTCCACAGGTACCGGACGTGCACATGGTGC